ACACACACAGAGACGAGACAAGAGGAGAGAAACAGTCGGAGTAATTTCAAATGGCGGAAGGTAGACAGCGAAAACAGAGCATTTAATTACATTTTCTCTTACTGGACCTCTTTGAAATGCAATTGAATACCCCTGCATTATAGCAACAACAACAATAATAATAATAATAATAATAACAGCAATAATAATTGGGAGGGGGGGCGCGGCTGTTCTTGTTCTCTGAGGGGAGGCTCACCTTCCCACACTTTGAAAACCCCTGTGCTACTTTATTACATTTGTTATCACCAAAAATGTGTTCCGTGAAAGAAAAGCAATTAGATAGACATCGTGAGGTATTTATTTTCGGTACAGTTTATGTTGAAACCGTTAGAGAGAGTATATATTCAAATTTCTTTATTAGGATAAACCCCTTGAGGTGAATCACCTCGGTGAATCACCTCGTTTTCAAGGGGGTCCCACTTGTTAGCCTGTTCCATTCTTCTTTGTTTTCCGAAGCCGTGGCTTGGAAGTATACTTGCTTAGTTTCTGAAGGAAGTGACTTGGAAGTATGCGACTACCAAGCCAGTATCCTTGCGATTGAGAAACGGCCGGACAGTCGGAATGAGAGAAGTAGTCCGTTTAAAAAAGCGATGTTGGTAAAAGCCGTGATAGTGAACCAAAAAAGTGAAGTGGCGTGATGCAAACCGAAACAATTAGCTGAAAGGTCCTAAAATGCTACGTACAGCTAGGCAGAGTTGGGTGTTAATTCTCTGTGGGTTTGTCACTATGAGTATGAACATTAAACATATTTGAAAGATCGATTCATGCAAAAAAAAGATTGGTGCAGCTTTAAGGTTATGCATGTAAATTAATGACTCGTATTGTTTTTTGTATATGTGACCAATCAATCTACATCTTAAATCATATTCTTGAAGAGGAAGTGGGAAGACGGTGCATAGGAAAATAGTAGCCATGATGCAAACACTTTATCGTATTTAAAATCCATTAGGCAAGTATTAAGGTGCAATACTCTTTTAAAGCTGACAGCATTGCAAGCTGCATCTAATAATTGATTACACTGGTGCAGTGCAGGCACATGACAAGACATCATCTATTCTCTAACAATACAATCACTATGATGGACCAACAAACAAAGATCTCTTTTCTTTTATTAGTGTAAGACTCAAAGAATTTATGCTTGCCTCATTTTGGTAAAAAGTTGCACCTTAAGCCTTTAAGATTCTTATATCTGATGCTTCCTCCTGTCTTGAGCAAGGTCATTAATTAGCATATGAGTTTGAACTGGAACTGATCAAATTGCAGCGTGATCACCACCAATATATTGCTTTGTTGAATGGGACTAATTAAAACCTAACTGTATGAATTAACTATGAGATAAAATGCTTGCTGTGTTTTTTTATGTGCTGTCTTTAATCTCGGACAGTGCTGTATCCATTATGAAATGGATAATTTGGAAGCTGGAGGTATGATATCCTGCACACTGATGACCCACCAAATTGATGTCATGTTTACAGTCAACACTGCTATGACATTCCATAAGCTATCATATGGGATCCTCTGCTTGCTTCTTTCTCGATGCGTCTGCAAGATTTGGAGGTTGCTTCTGATGGGTACCGGAGGTAAGGACACCCTTTTTCCGACTGGGGGCGGCGTTGGACAGCCACTTTCAGCCGGCATCCCGTCGTGCAGTACTCCTCTCCCACCACCCCTCACCACCACCCACCTACCTCACCCTCACTTGTGGAATCAGCTATTCAGATCGCATGCAAATCCAGGAGCGTCACCGTGGATGTGTGTGTGTGTGAGTCGAGAGGAAAAGAGGGAGAGATTGAAGTGCAGTTGCATTCCTGGAGAGAGAGAGAGAGAGAGAGAGAGAGAGAGAGAGAGAGAGAGAGAGATAGAGAGATATCCCTGCCCCTTGCTCCTCCTTTCTCCTCCTTCCTCACTTTCCTCCTGGTCTCCCAGCCGGCGGCGGCAGAGAGGGATTTTCAACCCGGGCTGCAGATGCAGGGAACAGGGCTGCAGATTGAAAGAGACACCGGTAGTCAGTAGGGAAGTTGTGGAAATAAGTGATTATTTTTGGAGAAACGCATACGAAAGAGTTTTGTTCACGGACGCTCCGGGAAGTGACATTTTAATTTCGTGAAAGTTAACTTTTTTCGGTTACATCCGTGTGGTGGTCATGGGTTCCCATCGGGCACTCGCGGGCGGCCGGACAGTGCTGCTTGTGGCGGGGCTGCTCGTGGCTCTGGGGCACCGCTGCGCCGCAAGCTGCCCAGAGAGAGAATTAGAGGACAGGGAAGAGGAGGCCAACATAGTTTTGACCGGCACCGTGGACGAAATAATAAACATGGACCCGGTGCACAATACCTATTCTTGCAAGGTACGTGTTTTTCTGTGGTTTCAGTAACGATCAAGTTACCGCAGCATTGCTTCAAGGGGGAAATACACCTGCTTCTTGCACCGCAAGTACTGCTAATAGTGTTTTAAGTGGAAGGTTAAAAGTCCCATTATCTCTTAACATCGTGTTTCCGATGGAAGCCATTACCAGCAAGTTTATAGTCCAACTCTCTCAAAGGCATCAACAGCTTGCCTGAAAAACATTTTACAAACTCATTCATCCAGAAGCGTTTGGCAGCAGTTACACACACAGCGAATCCACTTTACTTGGTTTTCACTTACCAACTATCTACAATAAAGGTCTAACCAAGCTTGTAATCATCCCAAACATATGTATGTAAGAGACTCACTTCTGTGACTCTTACTTTATTTCTAGTCATAAATGTTAAAAAACATGCAAATCCATTTTCCAGAGGCTCCCAAGTGATATTCTAAATTATGATTTGTCCTGTGGCGTTGCTGACAAGTACATCTCTAACTAGAGATTTGTGACTTAACAGTTATATCCCTTGGGATGAAAGACAATTCCGTAAGGAGATGATTGGGTAGTAGGCTACCACAAAAACACTTAGCAGTCAGTACAGTGATTGTAAGCGACAATAATATGTTTTTTTTCTTTTTCTGTGAAGACAGTTTTAACAAGTGCTGCAAGGTTTGCCCAAAGCAATAGAGATGTATGCCCTACAGATTCATTAGTCACTCATATGAAACCTCCTGTGTATGATAAACTGTACATTCCCCATTCTCTTAATCACAGGAACATCATGTCTCTATCTAATGTACCACATGTCTAATGGCATATAGGCTGAAAATCACATTTTCAGGCTTCCTCCATCCTCATTCCAAAGCCCTTCTTAAAACTAACTTTTGCATCATCGTGGACTTGTGGTAGACCACTCTATAATCAGTCAAAAATAAACAAGTGGTGTTTGGTCAGCTCTCGCAGCTATTTTCCTCTGCAACCACACGCTTCCCGTCTCCCGGTGAATCAGTGGAGTAGATTAGACGCACACGGCTTTCCCTCTGGAAACAGAAACCACCACCAAGCGCTGACATGAGATAAGGCGGCTAACATGTAGCAGAAGGGGCGAGCTTTCTCATGACTGTGCATAAATCAGACTTTTTGTTGCACTGATGTATGGCATCAAAATGAATTCTGCTTTATTTTAGATACGTGTATCTGGATGTATTGTATGAGATGTATTCAAATATAGATAATTACTGTTATTGCATAAAATGTTAAGGAAAGTTTGTTTTGCGTAGGTGAAAATAAGTTATTTGTAAAGATCAGAAAAGCACCTGCCTGTCATTCCACAAACATGCATGTTAAGGAGAAACCATGACTCACATAGCCCGGAACTAGCCAAATCCCTAACAGAGCCCTTGTGCATACCTATTCAGGAAAATAATATGTATGTTCTTGACAAAATACTAAGAAATATGGTGTCCTTCTGTTTTTTGTTTTCGGCTGTAGGTCAGGGTGTGGCGCTACTTGAAAGGGAAGACCAACATCAACCGTGAAATCCTCCTGGACGGCGGCAACAAGTTGATGATAGGCGGCTTTGGCAACCCCGGGATCTGCGACAACCAGGTAGCCACGGGTGACACTCGCATATTCTTTCTCAACCCTGCCAAGGAAGACATGGGACCAGAACACAAGAACGAACTTATGCTCAACTCAAGTCTGATGAGGATTACCCTGCGCAACCTGGAGGACGTGGAACACTGCGTGGAAGGTAAGCAGCCTCTTGTGAATAGAATAGCCTGTCTTTCTTTGGATGGAATACACAGCACGTGTTGTTGGGAGTCTTAAAAGCCCGGCAACATCTTGCAAGAAACAGCGAAACAAAACACAACTATAACGCTGTGTGGACGAAGCTTGCCGGTGGGCGTGTCTGAAACTCTGACCAACAACCAAACAAGCACGCGGTTTGATTGGCTAGAGCTTGTACTGGCTTATGATTTGATTGGCTGACGCTTCCGTCGAAGCATCAAAAGTTGAACATTGCTCAACTTTTGAAGCGAGGAACGCGAGCAGAGCGAAGCAACGGAACCACAATGAAGTTCGGCAAAGCGTGACGTCACCCCGTTCAAAGTGAATGGGCTGAAGCGTTGAAGCTTCAACGCACCCCGCCGTGTGGACGTGTCGTAACGCCAAGCGTCTGAATTAGCACTAAGCGAATGAGTGCTAACATAACTCACGGTAGAAATATTTTATACTTCATCGGATCTGCACAAACAATATATCACATGAAAGCTGAGATTCCACAGATTCCAATGGTATAAGTAGCATCACTGTGCGACCAAAACTCACGGCAGAGAAAGCCAGCAAAGACAACACACAACTTCACTTTACGTAGCAAACACGGCAAATACGTCTTACCTTTGCTGTTTTCTGATCAAAAGTTGTGTTCAAGGGCATTCAAATGCATATAAACGCTGCTGAAGGTTAATCCAATGTCTCTGTGTCCCTTTGAAATTATTACTGATAATCCATCATCACATTTATGGCAATAAGCCTAGTTTTCAGTTTTCAGAGTGTAACATAGCTTTCGGTTTGGGCAAGCTGCGTGCGCATCACTCTCATTCCTCAATGGTAACGTGTAGGTGGATTTAGGAACTCCCTCCCGGTTCTATTAGCCGCTTTCACACCGCAGGACTTGCCATACTTTAGTGCCGGCACTAAAGTACCACGGCACTGAATCCGCCAGGGGGCTAGTGCCAATTGCATTCACACCGCAGTACTTTCCCTGAGGCTAGATTACGCTGACGTCACTTCGTCTTCTTCTTCTCTGGGTTTACTGGCAGGCCGCAAAACCACTTCACGGCGAGTACAAAAAAAAACGAGAGAAGAAGAACTACACCGGGGAGGGGGTATTAAGCCCACCCGCTGTATATGATATATATATATATATACATATACATATATAATAGGTAGGCTCAGCAGACAGACCGTAGTGCAAAGATAAAGTGTCAAATGATTATCTACTAAATAGTGAATTCAGCATCAACTTCAGATGAAGATGAAGTTCATATCTTCCTAAGATACGTGTTACTTTATGTCCCTACTAGAATCCGAGCTCAAATGACTCAAACAAACAAAATGTCCAAGCAAAGAATCATGTGCACCATGAGGCTGGGTTATAAGGGTAATTTACAAATAAAATACCCCATTATAACAATGGACTTTATCTTTATGTATTTATTATATATTACCCCCTCAGGCTGATTTTGGAAAAGGACATTAACCGTTGTTTGGTGTTTTTCCCTTATTTATCTAAAACAAATGACATGATAAATTACTTGTGTTTATGTGTGTAAGACTTGTGTTTCTGCCCCTGCCATTGCTGCACAAGGTTGCAACATTGATAAATTCAACCACCGACCATACTTCTCAACCCTCCCGATTTTCGCGGGAGACTCCCGATTTCATTGCCCTCTCCCGGTTTCCTCCCGGGGTCATATTTCTCCCGCATTTCTCCCGATTTCGGACAAAATCAGATTTACACACGACTGTTTCCACTCGGACTTTAATACAGCTACACCATTGTTTAGTTTCCATGGTAACACGTCTCTTTAGTAGCGCGCAACTCAAAGTCTGAGAGGGTGAAGCAGATATTCACAGAAAACAGAACAAGAATCGACAACTACTCTACTCTGCTCACTCCTTTCCTGTAAAATCACAGGTCAGCCCACACATCTGCTCCCATCAAAGGACGGTGCTACAGGCCGCCAAGAAGTGCACTTAACAACTACAATAAGCATGTAATGTTAATCCAACAGTCCACGATCCACTAGCACCCTACCCCCCCCCCCCAATTTTGACATTGGCAAGTATGCCACCGAACTGTTGCTCTCCATTCTTTCCCTATTCTGCACATTTGGGGTGGGACACAATAAATTAAAGCTTCGCCCAGTTTGTTTGGTTTTTATTGCACGGTCCAAGACATAACAATAAACGGCATCACGCCGCTCAATGAGCTTTTGCGAAACATCGCTCAAAACATTTGGAGTGGGAACTGTTTTCTGTAGAAGCTGCTGCATCCCGTCCTCCAGAGTAAATTGCCAGAAAGCGCCGACACTTCCTCATCATTCCACCGCTCCGGTGTTCGTAGTACGTAAAGTACAAAAAAACTACTCGCCTCAGGTGTGCGATGTGGTTTTGTAGCGAGGAAAAAAATGGCTGCTTAACAAAAAAAAATTCTGAGTCTAACGGGCATGGTTTGCAATTCGCCCAGCCAATAGAATATAATACGAAATTGGCACGCTTTTATCACCAGGTCTACCACCTCTCTAGAGGGACTGAAAAATGGGCCAAAAGAGTTCCCGGCATTGAGTAGTCCGGCGGTGTGAACGCGACATTATTGATAGCTAACGGAACGACAAGAACCAACCAAAGTACCAGGGAAAGTCCTGCGTGGTGAATGCGGCTATTGATGAAAGTAGTACCCGTAGAGCCCAGTAGAGGGTGGAGCCCTGTGTGAGATAGAACTGATACTCCACATGTTCAACAAAGCAATACTATCTACTGTCACACTGCATTTTATCTCCTAAGCAGTGCTCAACATTTCATTTTTAGGGAACCTTCCCAAAGACAAAAAAGTGCAAACAAAACAAACTCGCTTGCAACCCAACCACCAACTAAAGGAACATCACCATAAAACTGAGACACTAGATCAGATAAACCCCCTCACACACTAAGGCTGAAAAGGGAAATCTGGAGCCCTCTAAATCTCNAAGATGAAGTTCATATCTTCCTAAGATACGTGTTACTTTATGTCCCTACTAGAATCCGAGCTCAAATGACTCAAACAAACAAAATGTCCAAGCAAAGAATCATGTGCACCATGAGGCTGGGTTATAAGGGTAATTTACAAATAAAATACCCCATTATAACAATGGACTTTATCTTTATGTATTTATTATATATTACCCCCTCAGGCTGATTTTGGAAAAGGACATTAACCGTTGTTTGGTGTTTTTCCCTTATTTATCTAAAACAAATGACATGATAAATTACTTGTGTTTTTGTGTGTAAGACTTGTGTTTCTGCCCCTGCCATTGCTGCACAAGGTTGCAACATTGTAGATAAATTCAACCACCGACACCTGTCTGCTCTCACATTCTTCTATTCTGCAAATTTGGGGTGGGACACAATAAATAAAGCTTCGCCAGTTTGTTTGTTTTATTGCACAGTCCAGTGTTTCCCCTATATACAAATAGTGGCGGCGCAGCGCCGCTGCTGAAATATGAGCGCCGCTGCTAGGGGGCGCCAGCCAGGTACCCAAAAAAAAAAAACTTTTTTTTTTTTTCTTAAAATAATAATAAGTGGTGAACTCTTTTTCATTTTTGATTGTTTGATATGTGGATTTGTAGTATTTGTATTACTGGCATAGGCGAAACAGGTGGTCGCCTAGGGCGCCAGATCTGGGGGGCGCTGCGCTGGTAGCTCTGGGAGGGAAAAACATTTTTGACCGTTGGTGCTCATCCAAATGTTCGGCCTTGATGTAACAACATTCATAATTAAGTAAATGTAACACCCTTTTCACCCCGGTTACACGTTTAATTTGGCTTGTACGGTGGGTGCTGTAGGTGATGAAAGTGGGGGATGTTGGCTTATCAGGCGCCCGCAGCTCACAGCCAAAGTGGTAGCGTGGTAGCGAGAGAGCGAGCAAGGGAGAGGGCGCACCTTTGGCTGTGAGCTGCGGGCGCCTGATAAGCCAACATCCCCCACTTTCATCACCTANAGGGAGACAGGATTATTTATACATGAGGTAAGGGGGAACAGGTGGAAACAATCAGGGGCGGGGCAGACGCTGACGATGGCGGGAAAACACACAAAGGGAGGAAGTAAGGGAAAATGAGAGACAAGAGGTAAGCACAAAAATAAAACAGGAAGTGCAATGACAGGACTAGACAGGTGAACAAATCGACTTGACTAAACATAAATCTAACCTGGGCTATGAACTAAACGTGAAACAATAACATGAACCTGATTAACATGACATGAATAATTTAGCAAACATGACGGGATGTTACACATATTTGATTTTTCAGATACATTCCTCATATTCTTATTGTCCTTACACTATTTATATCTCATTTTAATACGACCTCTATTTTATAATGTTTGTAAACATTTTTAAAACAGCCTTTATAATAGTTATTTATTTCCTTTTTTTTACAACTTTACTTCGCTTAATGTGTTTATGAATGCACCATTACACACCAAAGGAAAGTCCTCTTATGTGGAAACTTACTTGGCAATAAAACTGTATTCTGATTCAATCCAAATATAGCTAGTGAAGCCTGGAAACAATGATGCCAGCTTTGTATAATTAGACTCATTGCTGTGCATATGAATGGCAGTAAGTAACAGGTGGATACCATGAGACAGCAGGGAGCATGATAGGCATAATTCACCTGTATTGGCTCAGTGCGTCTTCAGCTTACATCCAGAAGGTGACAGGATGTAACTAACCTCTGAACCATGCACTTCCTGTATTTTATTCCCTAAATGATACTCTAATTTCACAGACAAGTTTTGATGCTAAATGCCAAACACATTGATAAAATATGCTTCCTAATAAAAGCATAGTTTGAATAGAGTTCGCCAAGTACACCAAGTTTACTTTATAGTGTGTCCATCTTTTTCAAAAGAAAAGTTTCTCAAAGGAATCCCTTATGTATCCTACAACAAAAAGCATGTAAAGGGCCCAAAAAATATATTTTTCTA